TTCTGACGAAATGAAAATGAAAGAAACAACAAAGAAAATCCTTATACCAGAACATATTGCAAGTGGTAGGAAATCATGGTGGAGTTCGGTCGCAATTTATATATATATATGTGTGTGTGTGTATATATATATTATATATATATAAATCATCCCAATGACTCGACATTGAATTTGAGCAGGAAAGGCCACAGCATGGCCCTGACCTTGGCTTGGGTGAGGGATCCACCAGCAAATGAACAAAATGGCAGTGCTGATCCATATGGTCACAACCATTTGGGGTTTGAAAATGGGGTACCCCCGATTCTAAGGGAACTGCCATAGTTTCCCATAGTTTCTAGGAATCAAAATTTAGGGTGCACCGGTATACCCCAATTTGCACACTCAACATCATTCACATTCATTCACATCCTCTCCCAAAAATATGTTCTGCGCTGTCACCTAGGGATGTCACCGGCTGCCAAATGCAAAGCAGTGTAACCAAGCGTGTCCTGCGGCAGAGTTGGGAGCGAAGCGCAGCTGTAAGCTGATCAAAGGACGGGTGTTGACCTCATTGGTTGAAAAACCTCCCATCGTTGGTTCAATCCTTCCTTTCGCTCCCTTGCAGAAGGTGCAGAAGCGTGAAGAATGATAAGCAGATTGAAAAGCCCGCCCAAACCATGCAATTTTGGTCCCTGTTGTGACGATTTGAAAGCTTTCGGATGCTTTCGGAGGGATCTTCTGGTTGTGGCACCAACCATCCCTGGAGTCCACAGCAGTCCTGTGCATTCACTTCTTGAAAGTTCGGGCACCCCAGTAGGGCCCTGGAACCAACAGCAACTCTTGCCATCAAGCATACGCTATCAGTAGCATGGAGGAAGTGGATCACTGGGTCACTGGGTCACTGGGTCACTGGGACCAATTGACATACTTGATCTGCAATTCAAAACAGAAAGAAGACTGACACACTGATGTCTTGCAGAAGTGGATGGAAATGGATGAAGATGCTAGGAATGCATATCGTTTCTCTCGTTTCTGAGTCCCCCACTTTACCACCAAAGAATGCCTCATCTGCATTCATTTTGATGTGAAAAATGTGGGTCTGCAGCATCAAACACCCGGATGCCAAAGGTCATAAAGCTGCCCCCCGGCCCCAGACCAACAAATTCCATCAAAATGCTGCGACAGCAGGACATGATATGCAAACCTTGGGTGCATGGCCCTTCTTCTGCTGCGCAATGCAGGGGCGTACGGCCATTTGTGCTCCTTTCAGTCAAAGGCCCATATGGATCCATATGGTAGAGACTGTCACCTCGACTATGACAATGAAACTAGGTCCACCGCTCATATCGGACCCTGATTCGGCATTGCATTTTTCACATTCTCATGATATTGAATGTTGATCATTCCAATGGGAAAAATATGGGACCATCAAACAAGCTTTGAAACGCGTAGTTCCATTGGTGGAAATATCTCATGTTGTTTTCCCATTCTAAGTTCCACATGAAACGTGTTTTCCAGCCGCCCCCAACTATTAGTTTTTGTTGCATGTTATCAAATTTCTGAATTCGCAGTTAAAGGGGAGTTGCGCACGGGTTCGGGTTTTTTTTCCCCATAGGAAGTGCGTGTTTTTACACATTCCACCTGTCAGGGTTTGCAAGTCAACGGTTTTTTCTTCCAAGCGTTGGAAAGTCACGTGGCTTTCGGCAATCTTTTCAATGCTGAATAGAACTCGTTTGGTGTGGCACCTTGCAAGTTCCAACACAACGTGCTTTTAGCATAGCATCATCTTCCAGACGCAAGTGCCAGGTACGTTAACACACCCGCCCACCCCCCACCCCCTGGTGACATGACGCAAGTTCCAAGACAACGTGCTGTTAGCGTAGCATCATCTTCCAGACGCAAGTGCCGGGTACGTCAACACACCCGCCCACCCCTCACCCCTGGTGACACGACGCAAGTTCCAAGACAACGTGCTTTTAGCGTAGCATCATCTTCCAGACGCAAGTGCCAGGTACGTTAACACACCCGCCCACCCCTCACCCCCTGGTGACATGACGCAAGTTCCAAGACAACGTGCTTTTAGCGTAGCATCATCTTCCAGACGAAAATGCCAGGTACGTTAACACACCCGCCCACCCCTCACCCCCTGGTGACATGACCCAAGTTCCAAGACAACGTGCTTTTAGCGTAGCATCATCTTCCAGACGCAAGTGCCAGGTACACCCATACGCCCAAGTCCTTGCAATGTTTGCGTTTGACAGCTATTCCCAATCAAAACGCTCGCCACAACCCCTGTCCCGGCACAGACCTTGCAAAACCTCTTTCCCCATTGGAAACGCTAGCTTTAACAAGCCTTGACCAAACTATCATGGTTCCATTATGTTCTATTCGTTTTTGATCGAATCCCATCGGAACGCCGGTTTCCAACGGGCCTTTTTTCGTGGGCATTGTTGACGCCCACAAACAAAAACGCGAAGCAGGCCCTTTTCCTAGTTTGTATACTGCAGGATGGGTTCTGATAAAGGAAAAAAACGAGGTCCAAAACGAGGTCAAAACGAGGTACGGAAAAAGCCCCGCATCTACACACATGGACTTTGGCCCGCAAGCCGCAAACCTGCCCTTCCTTGGATCATTGGTAGCGAAACAATGACAATTTGCAGAATCCCAGCACACCGCCATGGCAGTGTAGAGATGATAATCCCAGCGTTGTGTAGAAGTACCCGGAAACAGCAACAGCAGCAGCCGTCGAACCAGCAGCCGCAGCAACAGCAAGACGCCAGTAGCTGCAGAACCCAACAGCAACCATCCCAAACACAATGAGAACGCAACTAGCAAGATTAAAGCACTATGCTAATAGTAAAACAACGCCCTACCCCAAACACAACCTAAACGCCGCTTCGCCACTTTAGGTCTACATGAGATAGTAAAACAGCAACCTACCCTAAACACAAGCTAAACGCCGCATCGCCACGACTTCCACAAAAGCCTTCCCCCAAGCTAATTTCAAGATTTTTGGGATTTCGCCACGACTTGGGCAGTTGGGAGTACGTTAACACACCCGCCCACCTCTCACCCCCTGGTGACATGACGCAAGTTCCAAGACAACGTGCTTTTAGCGTAGCATCATCTTCCAGACGCAAGTGCCAGGTACGTTAACACACCCGCCCACCCCTCACCCCCTGGTGACATGACGCAAGTTCCAAGACAACATGCTGTAGCGTAGCATCATTTCCAAGAGAAGAAGCCAAAAATGCAGTACAGCTTGTAAAAACCCACGAGCTGTTGCGGGCGGTGGTCCAACTTTTGAACCTTATGACAGAAGTGGATGTCTGCAGTCAGGGTCACTGCCCAACAGGAAAATTGTGAGCAATGGAAAGCCAGAAATCCAACTTCCAAATGATCACACAGAGCCCACAGAGTTGCGCTTTCGATGTGTTCCAAATCACGCTGCAATGGCTCCTCGCCAACTCTCGCATCCGTGGATGTTTCACCAAGGCAGTGACCGTAGAAGGCTGAGCGAAGTTACGAGAGAAGTTGGGACTAGTTATGACTGGTTCAGCAAAGTTTGGTCTCTTTGGTCTCAATAACTTTCAATATCTTTCAAGTTCCCAGAGACATGCCCAAATCGTTGCAGACTGTCTCAGCACGGGCTTTTGACTGCCACATACTTGGTCGGTGGTCCAATGACCCAAGCTCCAAACCCATCCATGTTTGGCAGCAACGTGAACTGCAGACTCACCAGTATTTGACACAGTCCTGGCAGCTGGAGCTGGGAACTGATCCATACTCATGCCGTGGATGAAAGAAATCCTGCATCACCAAAAGGATGGTTGAAACCCTATAAATAATGGGATAAACAACCTTTTAACTGGTCCAAGATTTCTTCCATCCACCGTATTGAATGTTATCAGTATTTACTTCAAGTGTCTCTCTCTCTCTCTCTCTCCCCCTCCATCGCCGTCTCAACTCTACTTCAAGTGTACCAGTACTAGTTGGGTATTGTCGTATAAACCTGAATGCAACTGCAGACAGCTCTGGCACTACCTCTCGCCGTTGAGTCCTGACAGTCGCCTCTTTCAAGAAGTTGTGTTCCAGCAGCTTTTGACAAAAGGTTGTTAATCCTCGCCTCGCACCTCAGTATGAATTCATCTTGCCACTGTCAAAGCCCCCTGAAGCCCCGCAAGATCCCAATCCCAACCTCTGCATGCCCGATATAGAAAGCATCAGAAAGCCATCCATCTAAGACATCTCACGAAGTCGCGCCAGGTTTCTTTCTCCACGCTCAACGGTCTGGAGGGTCAGAGACCAACGGTTTATTGTGCATTGTGCAAATGATTCCAAAGAATTGTGAAACGTATGAACCATGCTGAAGATGTTTTGAGATATGTTTTGAGATATGTTTTGAGATATGTTTTGAGATATGTTTGTTTGGACTGTGCAAAAGTAGGTCTAATCATGTCGTTGCACACTTCAAAAATGGAACTGCACATGGTAAAGGGATCTGGAGGGCGAATTCACCTCACGACTGTCCAGAAAGTATGCGACTTCTCTCCTGGCCGTGCCCAAGCTGGTCTGACATCGTGTTGTTTATATATCCCAAGAGATAGATTCAGTTTCTCAGCTGGTAAATTGTCAGTGATATGGTTGGCGCAGCGTCGCAGAAGTTATATACACTTTTGAACCTCACGTGCACTCGTGGCAAGACAAGAATTGAACGTGACACGAAGCAAAAATACTTGTTGTCTCCCAGAAGCTCTACGGTGTTGCATGATGCGTGTTTTTTTCTTTGCAACAGTGCTCCATTCGCATCTTGTCTTGCAACCGTGACGGTGACGGGCAGCAGTAGAATCAGCTTCCAAAATGAGAAACATTGCAAATAACAAACAATTGGAACGTTCGATATTGACATAGTGACTTGGCAAGTTGACCCGGTTTGGATCCAGGAATCCATCCGTATCCTTGGTTCATCCACCACTACCCCTGCTATGCCCCTCCAGGGTCCTCCAAATGTCCGACGCGAATCAACGTGCCATGAATGCCTGTCATAGCTGCAGGGTTGAGGTGTACCCATTGGGCATCCAAAGAGCCCAAGTAGGATCATATGTGAACTGACTGGAGGCGGCCATCAAGACATAGTATGTGAAAGACCCATGAATTGCAACAGCAGTTGGCTGTGCCTCATAAGAGCCACCTAGCAAGAGCTGCACATCTCTCTTCAGCTCGTCTCGTGTAAGGCGCCAGCCTCTCCTGGGGCTGAGATGGGTCGACCGTAGCATACTTTACTAATTACGTTCACTGCATTGGCTCTGTTCGTTTAAGCAAAAACTTACAGAAAACCAACGATTCTAAACCTACAGAAAAGCAATGATTCTGCACAATATCCAATCATGATAGAGTCTAAGAGGTGTTCCTCAATGTCCCCTGAAATTCTGGGGTCCTCAGCAGGCGAAGATAGTAAGGCACCTTGGGCCGCCCCGGGGGCTCGATGACTCAACTGGGATCACCGGAATCACCGGATCCACCGAGGACCACCTTTTGGACCACCGAGGTTGCGGCCAAAGCCTCTCCAATGATCTGCCGGGAATGATCCCACTTGTAGAGCCTGCCATGCAACAGGCCACCATTGGTCTCGTATGAAGAACATATAGTAATACTTCTGCCATGATTGGATGTCTGATTTTGAGTTTTCTACCTATGCATATAGAGAGAGAGAGAGGGGGAGAGTCATCCTGGAGCAGATATGATATGGGTTTTGCAAAATCATCACGAAACTGAAATGATTCTTGGGATGAAAACATATTCTATCCACCTTAGGATCATCATAACACAAATATAGTATGTATGGTATATATCTATTTTGTGTGTGTGTGCGTATCTGTGTGCACTTCCCCAAAAGATCCACGGTTTCTTAGCATTCTTACTTGGAAGGTGTTTGTGCGTGTGGTGCCATATATATACAGTATATATATATATCAACAGGAATATTCAAAAACGTTATTACATTGGATATTATATAATCTCAACCTGGACCGTATTGCACTTGATATTTTATGAGGTGGTAAGTGCATGTCAAAATGCATGTCACACGTTCACATCTTCTGCCACCTGTGTAGGTACACATACCGTGTCAACGGAGTGGAATGCCATTACCCCAGAAGATTGCCTTTCAAGCGGGATTGCTGATTCTCTTCTGCTTTACCAACCCCTTTCCAGCATTGATCCAATATACTCCAACTGCATCCGAAAGCCGTTTGCAAAATTTGCATGTCCAAATTTGTCCTCCGAAGTGCAGGTTTTCCAGTAAAATGCTGAATGGCACTCAAAGAGGAATGATTATTCTCTTCAAATTTCTGGGAGTCCTAAAAAATAAGGGCACTTTTCTCTTAGAGAAACAGCTTGAGTTGAAAAGATCCAGCTTTTAAGCATACACGTTTCATTGAAAGGATGCAGCATTCTTTGAAAGAAGAAGCGGGGAGTCCTTGTCAAAATATAGCATGCTGGAAGCGTGGTTTTCTTTTTGAAGAGTTCTTTTTCATTAAAAGTTGCAAACAGTAACAAGTGTAGTCTCCTTCTCAAACAAACACTTTTCATGTAAGACATGCAGTATTATTTATTTTTGACAAGTTGGATATCTATATATATATATGTGTGTGTGTAAAGAGACGCCCTATTCCTCCAAGAAAGCATTGTTCTTGCCAAAATACATACGCAATATAGTGTGTATATATATATAAGACACATCCCTTGAAAAGTACAGCCTGCCTTTCACCAAAATGCATTACCCCCTTTAGAAACTAATCTTTCCAAGCGCGCATCAAAAAAATGCTGCATTGCATGAAAATATGCAGTCTCTTTGTCAAACAAAAACTTGTTCATCTTCACTTTGCAGTATAAACTCACTTTGAAAGCACAATATCCTTTCGAGGAAGCAATGCTCTTGCAAGTGTTACAGTAGTTCCTTTAATCAGTGCCGGGTTTCATTCAAAAAAATGCGGTTTTTCTGGAAAGCAAAGGAATACTGTAGTAGTTCCCCCAAATATAAAGCATTGCTTTACAAGATTGCATTTTTCTTGGTCAAGAAGTCATTCTAATTGACTTTATCCCACTTTCGCAGCAAACACTTTCATTTATTTCAAAGGAAGTAGCATTCCTTGATTTTTTTAGCAATCTTTTCGAATAGGTTGCATTGAGAATGAAATAAACTCTGCCAAAGAGGCGATACTGTATTCGTTCAAAAGCTGCAATGTGTTGAAACAATGGTGTTTGTAAGAAACTCGTTTTATTTTAGGTACGCACTGCCATTTTTTGAAGGATTGAACCATATACTGACTTTTGAAAGCACAGCATACCTTTCAGAAAACAACTGTTTTGAAATTATGCCCTCTAAAAAGTGCATGGTTTCTTTCAACAAAATGGTGTTGTCCTTTAAAGACAAGAATTGGTCGGACTGTCCTTTTCATCTTTCAAATATGTGAGATTATTGTAAAAGAGACCTATTTTCCCTGAAAGAAACAGATCTGATTGGAAATATGCGGTACTTCTTGAAAATAGAAACTAGACTCTCAGAGCAACATGAATTAAACAAGATCAAAAGACTGTAGCTCAAAAGACTGTAGCAACTCAATAACTACATGGGTATTCACATTTTTCTACCCGAGCCAGGCATAAAATGCATAAAATCACCAGAAAACAAGGCATACATATAAACATGTGTGTAGTTCGGTGGGTTTGTCTGAGGATAGTACCTTTCCCTCCATCACCCCCCCCCTCTCCGAGAGTTCAGTTTAGTACCCCTTAATTTTGATGGATAATGATAAACATCAGCCTTTTCCCCATCATTTTGGTGGTAGAAAACTGTGCCCAGGCGCAGTTGTTCCAGCACACGGCAGTCGCTGTGCTGTGCCGTGTAGGCCGTGCCCAACATCTCAGTGCGCATCTTTGTTAACTCCTCTCCACGCTTGTGGCCAACCCAGGCCATCCCAGGCCATCCCAGGCCCAGGCCATCCCAAATAATGGCAAGAAAAAGACTTATACCATCTGGTTATTTAACAGGGCCATGGAAAATCACCATTTTTAAATTGTAAACCATCTATAAATGGGCCATTTTCCATGGCTATATTAAATAACCAGAGGGTAGTTCAAAATGTTCAAAATGTTCAAAATATGGGGAAATCGTGTGGCATAAACATCCATAAACATGTCTTATTGCATATGGCTGGGGATATATTCAAAAACTCTCGTGTGATAGGGATATAATCAACAATAATACGATCTGCTTGTGAATCCAAATGTCCTAGGAGAGCATCACTCCAACTATTGCGGATCTCATTTCCCACAAAAAGCCATAATTCTGGTGACAATCAAAAACCCCTGATGTCTGTGCTATTCACGAACCATTACCAACCAAAGTAATTTGAATGAGCAAAAGTAAAGTAGTTGAACCTTCGATCAAGGTTTAAGCAACATGGGCAATTCCTAGTTGCTTCCAGCAATATCCTATGGTATCCATATGGTATCCCATATATATATATATATGCCCTATATATATGTGTGTGTGAGAGAGAGAGAGAGATGTATATATTAAGAGATATATATATATACACACATTAATGAGATGTAATATATATATATATACATATAAATCAATTAGATATGTATATATATATATATATCCACACGGTATCCATGATCAGGCCCTGTTTCGGCCTTGCCTCGATGATGGACGGATTGTTGCAATACCTCAGCGACTTGAGGGCCAGCTGCCCGAGGGGCCTTGCTACTCTCCAGCTGAGAATCTCACCACCAACAGCCGTAGAGGTGCAAATTTCGTGTTTTCTGAACCACCACCTGAGGCATCTGATGATGACTGCGCTTTTATAAGTCTTTTATATGCTTTGGATGGAAGTATCTGAAAATCTCTCAGGCATATCAAAGCCATACAAAGGTTCATCACGTGAATTCCATAAAATATCCTTCTCTGAACCGACCATCCAAAATGATCCAAAATGACAGTGAAAGAAATGCAAATCTAGAACAGTGCACTGAGCTTCTTGCCGTGAGTTCATGCTGATTTCCACGACTCAGAACCTGTGCCAAAACAAGAACTATCCCATTCAATCCCCATCTTGGCAAATCTGAAGGAAAATGTCGACATTTTCAGCAAGCTGTCGATCATTGCTCTTCCAGGCCGAGCGTCTGTGACCAAGAATTTCACCTTTGGAAACTTGGCGCATAATGCCTGCCGAGGGCCAAGGATCCCCTTTGAGGCCTTGGGGCTATCCGGCTATCCATGGGTCCATGGGCACCTGAAGGGAGGCCAAATCTGCGCTGGCAACACCATCGCCACCACAACATGGGTCCAGGTCTGGAGACATGCCACGCCAGGCACCCAACTTCCTCGTCTGCAAAAAAAACAGCATCTTCATGTGAAGAGTGTTTATGATTATATCAGCCATGGATAGGCACAAGAGAAAGGAAAACGAAAAGGTGCATGATCTTCACAACTGCCGTTAGATCGATGGTCAATTAGAGGCCTGGTGTTTTCACTTGGGATTCGATAAGGCGAATGACGGGACTGTAGTCCCAGAAATGCTGGCTTTCCCAAAAATGGTCCCCAAAAATCCATCATAGTCCATCATAGTCCACATAATGCCAGGGAAGGCTGAGGGTTTCCAATTTCGGGGCACACAACCATGCCCGAGTACTGATAATAATCCTTGCTGCTCAGCATCAGCGCAATGGGTAGGGAAAGCTCCTCAGTCGAGCGCTGTGACCGGAAAACTCTTCAGCCATCCAGGTTTGTCTGAAACTGGTTATAAGATGTTATAAGATGTTATAAGCATGCACAAATTGGGAGACAGAGGGAGAATGCTCTTGAGACTCTTGAGGTATCCCTCCTTGGATTTTGGAGGCCCACGGCTTTGCGCCATCTTCCCCTTGCCTCGCAAACGGGCGCGACCACTTTCTCCAGAAGCTCCGAGGCTCCAAAGCCGGCAAAGGCCTCCGGATCCGGACGCTATGCCAATGGTGCGGCCAAAACCTGGGGCCTGTGAAGATATCCTGTGATATGCAGCAAATGGATCAGCAGCCCCGAGCATCCCCCCAAATAGCGGGGGAGCTCTGCGACCCGTGACGGTGCATCTTCTTCCGCAGAAGCTAAGGAAAGTTGCGAAGCATCACGGGGAACCCATCGCAGGGGCTGTAAACTCCCATTGTTTCCACTGTTTAACGGTTGAGGAGATATATGACCTCCAGCAGTAATCTACTGCTAGTGCTTGAAGAAAAAGACAACATGGGAGATATGAGAACCCCTGCGAAGGGAAAATCTTGCGGGCTGTTGCCAAGGCTTCCAGACTGCAAGTACAGCGTTCCGTGCGCATCATTGTGCAATGATCATTATGTCATAATCGTCATAATCATGTGCGTGTTCCACGACTTGAAAAAAAAAGACGGTCAATGGGATGGCAATGGATGGCGTTCAGCAAGAAACTGGACATTTCTCTATGCCAGGAGCTTGACCAAGTCTTGTCGGCCGTGCCATGCCATCCGATGTTTGAAAATGCTGAAAGCTCTGCTTCCCCCAGGTCTAAGCTGTCCCCCCATCTCCAGCGAAGCCAACATCTTCGGGCTGCCACACCGCGGACCTATCCAACTCTGGCAGCTTCACTGAACCAGGGGGGCGACAGTACCAGCTGATATCTAGCACCAACCAGGGCAAACAGAACAGATCTACAAGGCAAGTGCTTCTGTCGTTCTTTTGGACGACAGGCACTTCAGCCAATGGAGTCAAAAGATCAATGCGTCTCCAATCATGGGCAGTCTGATAAACAACACGGCTATCAAGTTCCAGCAGGGCTGCGAAACCATTGCGAGGAGGACATGTTTCTCGTGATGCAAACAAAACATATGTTTCTGTGGCCCATCGATTGTTGGCGACATTAAGGAGAATGCAGCGAAACGGAGAATGTCTTTCAGGAGACAGCGGTTTGTTACCAAACTGCATCTTTCGTAAATGACACTTTCCTGGTGGGAGAATTCTTCAGTGCGATTGCGCCATTGTGCACTGGTGGAACCTGCTCTCTGGGGCCGTCCAAGGGCGCTCTCAAAGAGGCAAAGGCCAGCTGCTGCTCCTCTGGTTCAATGTCCGCAGATCTCCACACTCCTCGGCGTCGAAAAAAGGGCTCCAAAGCACCCGGGGTCTCCCCGGGGTGATTCGAATCTCCATTTTTGATGCTCAGGCTGCCTAGATTCTTAGTTAGCCTTAGTTTTTCTATGTTTTTGTTGGTTCATATCATATCCCTATCATTCTCCATCAGTTGACCAGGTCTCTCATTTTCCAGAGCAATCCCTTGATCGCGTGGTGGGGTGTTAGGTGATGTTAGGTGTACTGGCACAAAGTATGATGAACCATTGGAGTTTTTGGGCACAGCTTCTGGAGTGTTTGAGGTGCGCTGCCGACGTGGTGAGGAGCGAGATCGAGATTTTCGAGAAGGCGATCCTGAACCTGCAACCGGATGAATTTGTAGATTACAGACCCTTTGAGCCTTGGGTTGTTGCATTGCTCCCATTTCAACCGGAACTACACACTTCTCCTTTGGGCGTATACTCATCAATCAACCAGGCTGCAATCACAAGCACAGCAGTGTTGTGCAGAGACAAATGAGCAGCTGGAAAAACCGTTTCCCTCACTTAATCCAAAGTTCAAAACCCCTATAGCTGGTACAAAAACCCGAGGAAACCATGCTTTGCGTGCGCATCACCACTCAAATACTGTAATGGTTCCAAATTGTTCCACCGTTCCACATGTCACCATCACAAGCCCCACAAGCCCCACAAGCCCCACAAGCCCCACAAGCCCCACAAGCCCCACAAGCCCCACCCAACGCCTGAGGTGCTTGAGCGTGACGATCCCAGTTTCCATGACATCTCCTGTCATGCAATCGGATCAGCTTCAATGGCTGAATTGCTGTCCGAGACATGATGTGCCCCGCCAAGGTGGGACATGTTGCATGCACTTTCCCAACAGTATCCTCTGTTCCATCATCAATCTCCATGACGAAAAGCTTCACAACGACTCGCTCCTCCTTGGTCTGATTTAATGGACATGATGCACAAAACCACCATCCACCGACAAAATGACGCGCAAAACTGGGCCACTCCTTTTATCGGCCAATGGTTTGTGAATGGACTATATAGTTCAGACTGCACACTATGAGTATGGAGGAGAATTGAGGAGAATCATTTGGGCTCGTGTTCTCGTTCCGTCTGGGGCCTCCTGAAGCTGTGGCACAGCAGCTGGACTGTGCCCCAACGGACTTGCTGCTCTGCCCAGCGAATCCAGTGAAAAAGTCTCAGCAATGCAATTGATCTTCATTTCCCACATTTTTCACATGTTCCTCATTGTTCTTCATTGAAATTGCTATCAAATGGCCCAAAAAAAAAACGAACTACCGTTGCAGATCCGCTCCTCAAGGTCCAACTCTTCGACGCCCATCCGGTGCCCCTTCACGAAGGCCAACTGCTCCAAGGCCCGCGGCCCGTCAAAGTGGCCCAAGGCCCGCGGCCCGTCAAAGTGGCACTTGTAGATGGTCATGCGGCAAGAGCCTAAGATCGTGAATGGGGATCAAGGAGTAGTTGAAGCCACCAGCCAAACAATGTGGAAGTCGAGATTGTTTTTTTCGCGAAATGGGCCTTTTTGGGAAAGAAACGCACCGGTCGCACTCGCTTTCCAGTCGCCAAGTGGCACTTACACACCTGCCCTTTGACCACCAAAGGAAGCCTCAGCTCCGCCTCTGCCAACGAGGAATCAGAATTCAACAACTCGTTGCTGATCAACGTCAGGTCCTGTGGGGCAAGGCCATCTAGCGTCCATCACATCGAAATCGAAAGGATCACTGGAGGCCTGCTGTTCCATGCAAACAGCCACTCTTAAACCTGTAGGACCGGTGTATAAGTATACATGCGCATACAGGTAAGCCATAAAAACATAGGCATGCCCTTGTACATCTATGTGTGATCAATGAGTGTGTTGCAGGTGTAAACGTGCATATACATATACATATACATATACATATACATCTACATGTACATGTACATGTACATATATATAATATACATATATATAATATACATATATATATATAATATACATATATATAATATACATATATATATAATATACATATATATAATATATATATATATAATATACATATATATATATAATATACATATATATAATATACATATATAATATACATATATATAATATACATATATATAATATACATATATATAATATACATATATAGAATATACATATATATAATATACATATATATATATAATATACATATATATATAATATACATATATATAATATACATATATATAATATACATATATATATAATATACATATACATATACATATACATATACATATACATGTACATGTACATATACAGATACAGATACAGATACACATAGCGTCGCTTTCTGAAACCCAAAAGAAAACGTCCCTGGCAGGGTCTAGGCCTATGATCCCAGCCTGAAGGAAGCGGTCCCTGGCTTTGTCCGGCAGGTAGTCAACAACTTTCTGGTTCAAGTGCTTCTCTCCATGGAACTTGTCCTTGCAAAATGGAAGCCTTTCAAAGCAAACCTGCTGTTTTTGACAAGGGACCAACCACAAGTAGCCCGCTTATTCGTGCCACAGTAGCTGCGCAAACGATTTTTAACACTTCAAACCAGCCCAGTCTGCCAGTCCACAATTGACAGTGTGGGCACCATTGCAGTCAGATAAAATTACCTCCAAGCAGCACAAAAGGCAGCGGTCGCACCCAATGTTTCGAAGGTCAGAGCGTTGAACTCAATCACTGCCACCCCTCCTTCTGACAAGCGCCCGTACATCCAAAGTTCAAGAGAATCTCGCAACACCATGCTTCACAGTTATATAGGTCAAAATTACTTGATATTTACTGGATATTACAGTTAGCCAAGCGTTTGCAGCCAACCCCAAAAAATGGAGCACAATCCTCAATAATAAAGCATCAAATGTCATGTGCAGGTTAGAAAACAAAACCAACTCTATCAACCATGATCCAGTAAACCAAGTACCAATTATCTTGCGATTCTTGCAGCACACTATATATAGTCATATAGTATACATGTTATGATATGTGTTCTTAATGGGTGTGTTAATGTTTCCTTAAATAGACAGTGACATGGAGGCGTTTCTCCTGACATCTGCATCTTTTTGACCTCCTCGCTGACTTCAAAGCCATCCGGTTGCTCGGCTTTCGAAGGGATGGGGACAGCGAGCGCTTGCGAGTCGGAGAACTCACGGAACGCGATCAGGTGCTTCTCTTCACCTGAATCATCGCTGGTTACAATCTCCGAGGGAGAGAGAGAGAGGGAAAGAGAGAAAGAGAGCAAATCAAATCAAATCAAACCAGCTGGTGTCTGCAAAAACAAATGCAGAAGAACAACCAATTGAAAAACCACCAAAACAAACATGTGCACGGTAGAAGGAAACACATGGTTCATATGCTTTCACAATGTTGTCACCATGTCATCATGATGACAAATAGCATACGTATCTGCATCATTCTGCATCTATATATGTGCGTGTGCAAAAATATATGTGTTTGTATGTGTGTACGTGTAAGTATGTACGTGTGTGTGTGTATGTATATATGCATGCATTATGCATGTATGGATGTATGGATGTGTGTACGTATGTACGTACATTGTACATATGTATCTACGTACATGCTGCACGTACATTGACATTTGTATGTACGTACATCATGTATGTACGAGTACATTGTACATTTGTATTGTACGTATGCATTTACGTATGTATTCACATATGTGTGTATGTACTGTACGTATGTATGTACGCACGTACGTCTGTACATCTGTACGTCTGTACGTATGAAAGTATATGTGTGTACGTACGTGCGTATACACACGTACGTCTGTACATCTGTACGTATGTATGTTTGTTTGTACGTACCGTACGTGTGCACGTACGTATATACATGTGTACGTATGTACGTATGTACGTACGTACGCATGCATATTTCTTGACATATGTACGTACCTATATACGTATGTACGTACGTACGTATATACGTATGTGTGCAAGTAGTATGTACGTTTGTATGTATGTACGTACGGAGTGATGAATGAACGGATGGACGTACCAATGTTTGTGTGCGTGTGCATGTGTGTGTGTACGTAACCAGGCAAGTAGGTAGGTAGGTGGGTAGGTGGGTAGGTGTGTATCTGTCTGTATGTGCCTCTGCGTGAATGCGTACGTATGTGCTGCAATATAACGCAATGTAATGCAATGTAATGCAACGTAATGCAATGTAATGCAATGTAACGCAATGTAATGCAATGTAATGCAACGTGATGCAATGTAATGCAACGTAATGTAATGTAGTGTAATGTACCGTAATGTAATGTAATGTAATGTACCGTAATGTAATGTAATGTAATGTAATGCCATGTCATGTAATGTAATGTAATGTAATCTAATGTAATGTAATGCAATGTAATGTAATGTATGTAATGACATGTACTGTACCGTAATGTAATGTAATGCAACGTGACGTCATGTAATGCAATGTCTGGGATGTAATGTAATGTTCTGTTATGCTGTGCACTGTCTGTAATGTAACGTAACGTAAAGTAATGTAATGTAAATGTAAATGCAACGTAATGTCATGTAGATATAATGTAAATAAAATGTAAATACGATGTTAATATGATGTAAATATAATGTAAATATTTCGTGTAAATGTAATGCAAATATAGTGTAAGTACAATGTAAACATAATGTAAATATAGTGTAAATATGATGTGATATAATGTAAATAGAATGTGAATAGACTGTAAATATAATGTAAATATAATGTGAATATAATGTAAATATATAATGTAAATATATAATGTAAATATAATGTAAATATAATGTAAATATAATGTAAATACAATGTAAATATATTGTAAATATACTGTAAAGATAATGTAAATATAATGCAAATATAATGCAATTAAAATATAACATAATGTAATGTAATGTAATGTCACGTAATGTAATGTAATGTATGTGTACGTATGTAGAACCAATGTAAGAATATGTAAGAATATGTAAGAATTTGTAAGAATATAATATATATATGTACGCGAAGGAAATTTAGAAGTCAAACTTCCGACAATATCGACAGATGGAAAAGGAGAGGTGGGAAGAGTCAGAGAAGAGAAGAGAAGAGAAGAGAGGAGAAGAGAAGAGAAGAGAAGAGAAGAGAAGAGAAGAGAAGAAGAGAGAAGATCAGAGAATAAAAAGATTCAGAAGAAAGAAAATGCAGGTGCGGGAAAAGGTAGAAAAGTTGCGATTCACAGCGTTTTTCCAATGATTTGTTGGTCGAAAAGTAGGCTCGCTAAAGCGGCGCGTGCGGAGCCATCTGGCCAGATGAGAAATGAAAAATAGCACGCAGTTGTGGCGCGAAGCACATTTCGAAGTCAAAAAGTAAAAAGCACACCATTCTCGGACCACTCTTGGAAGTTGAGATGTCGAAAGAGTGCACGCCGCTGTGGCGCGAAGCACGTTTCGAAGTCAAAATGTACAAAACACACCATTCTCGGAGCACTTGGGGAAGTTGACATGTCGAAAAAGTGCGCGCGGTTGTGGCCCGAAGCACATTTCGAAGTCAAAATGCGCAAAACATGCCATTCTCGGAGCACTTTTGGAAGTTGACATGCCGAAAAAGTGCAAGCCGTTGTGGCGCGAAGCACATTTTGAAGTCAAAAGTGCAAAAAACTGTGGGGTACGGACCACTTTTGTTTGGACGTTCAGATGTGCTTTCGCATGGCGGATTGTGCACCTGGTCAAAAGTCAGCAAAACGTGAGGGTTTTGTAGCACTTTCAAAAACAAAGGCAGGCGTGGGGCATTTGAAGAGGATCTGCAAAGATGTGTTTCGCGTGGCAGGCGCAGTACAAGAGACACATGAGTTAGATATGTTAGGAGGTCAGGGCGCTGATTTCCTGAGCGGGGTTGCATTTTGGAGCATCGGATCTTCAGGTTTGTTAAGATGATTTTGATTGACAGGTGCAGCACTTTGTATGACCTGGCATCACTTTTTTCGTGGCAGGCGCAGCACTTTAGACAAATGGATACAAATTGAATTAAAAAAACGCAAAAAGTATTGGTACGAAAAAGTATTGGTACGAAAAAGTATTGGTACGAGGCCGTCAGCTCTGCACTCAACTTTCCATTTTTGAAGGAAGTCTCGCAGAATTGCTTCGTTTTTGATGTTGTCAAGCTCGAAAATTGAGGACATCTCGCAAAATCCTTTCGCTTTTGACGTTGTCAAGTTCAAAAATTTGAGGGTGTCTCGCAGGATTGCTGCGTTTTTGATGTTGCCAAGTTCAGAAATTGAAGAAGTCTCGCAGAGTAGCTTCGTTTTCAACTTGCACATAGACAGACAGACAGACAGACAGATAGATAGGTAGATAAATAGATAGGTAGGTAGATACCTACAAGTACAACTACAACTGCAACTACAACTACACAATACTACCACTACAACACAAATACAAATATGCTACACAATACACTAATTACACTACACCACACCAATTACACTATACTACGCTACTTACACTACGCTACACTACACTACACTAGTTACAGTACACTACACTAATTACACAACAATTATTACTACAACTACAACTACTATTACTACTACACAGCTACAGCTACAACTACAACTACGCAACATTACACTACACTACGCTACACTGGTTACATTACACTACGCTACACTGCAGTGGACTACAACTACAACTACATTACACATCACTGCGCTACACTAATTACACTACAATACAACTACAATTACAAGTATATTACACCACACTACACTAATTACACTACGCTACGCTACACTACACTAACCACAACTACAGCTACAACTACAACTACACCACTTTACACTACACTACACTAGACTACACTGCAGCACGCAACACTACAGCACACTACACTACACTACATCTCATTTCACTGCACTCGTTACACCACACCACAACTACAACTGCAACTACAACTACACTACACTAATTACACTACACTACAACTACAACTCCACTACGCTACAACTACAACTACACCTGCACTACAACACACTACATCCAGCAGCTGTGGGTGAGGCGACCACTGCAACCATTGCAAGCACTCCAAAAGGCACAACTCCAACCACTTTTCCGTCCATCAGTGGATTCGCTCTGCCATCCATGCATCACAACAACTCACCTCTCCTATAGCGCCCTATCTTTGGAACTTCCGCCACCACCTTGTGCGGCACTACTGGCAATAGATGTGTGTGTGTGTCTATGTGTGTTCGCATGTATGTGTGTACGTCTGTGTGCAATGATCTTCTAAGGTCAAGAAAGGACGGCATCATCTTGAAGTCGAAGAACTGCCCCATTCGAACTTTGCATGAAAACATTCTGCAGGAATGGCCTTGGATCGCGCCCAAGAACCGACAAAGCCACCCGTCCCAAGACTCAGGACCGCTTCACGATGTATGTAAACACCTGATACGTCCGATGTATCCATCTCCACGTCCAAGTGTAAAATCGCTGGGACCCATGTTCAATCAACAGAAATACAAAGAAAAACCACAAACATCATTCATGCACATACCGAGCATATCGGGCTGGACTGTCTTGGTGATGGCGATCAACACATGTCTCTTCATGGGTTGCAGCCATGAGTCCGTCCCTGATCCATCTCGCATCTTCACATGGAAGGCTGCCGCGATGTTGGCATGGTTTTCCCTGGACACTTCTCTCACAAAAGTGTCCTGAGGCATTCAAAATTCATAGGGGTTCCAGAAGATTTTGACCAAAAAAAGTGCAGCCTCATCGCTTTCACAGTGATCCAAGATGATCCAAGGCTCTCGGTCAACCTCACTATGCAGAAACTGCTGAATTTCCTGACCCCGAAGCTGATCCAGCCTGTGGCAAAAAAGGTCTGTTTTGCACTCTGGTTGCTCATGTGTTGGCGGCTGTGGAAATGATAGACCCCCCAAAAAAAAAACAATCTGAACAATGGAGCTTTGGGCAAACGCTTACTGTATATAACTTTTGTAGGTGGGGGCATGAGCCCTAGTTATCTCCACTAGCACAGCAAGAAATTTCCAAGTGAAAACGCGCAGGAAATTGAGAAAAAAAAACATATCAAACATGAAAACCCAACATATCAGAAAAAAACTTGACAGCTTCGTGGGAAGTACGCCGAAGCTAAGTCAACACAAGTTTAGGATTCAAGGCAAACTTTGGTTTTGTGGAGCACCAGATGTGAATTATGACTCGCGCCTCCCATGCACCAGCCATGCACCCAACCGATGCACATCCTCTAGGATGTTCATGGATTCGTCAAGTTCCACGACTGCATCGCACACCTCTCCAAAAGCAAAAGAAAATTGATTGGAAAACGGGGAGAGAAACCCATAAGACCCAATAAGAGCACTCAAGAGACGGGGCTGGGCAGGAAAATTAGCAAGACCCACCGCGAAAATGAAGCCACGGGCACTGAAGACAGAACTGTGTGGCATGCACTACGCATTGATCTCAGGTCAGCCATCTCCATCTGCAGAGTGGCTTCTGCTTCCTTACTTCGCAATCGCACCAAATACAAACAGAAGGGGAGGGGAAAATGCCTCCAAAGAACTCTGACACCGACCCTGGATAATTCTATTAAAAAAATAAATTAGAAAGGCGGATTTGTTGTTCCATCAAGTTGGAGCTGCCGTAGCCCGACGCAACCACCAGAATGCTGCAATCGTCACGGCTGTGTAGACAGCGTCAAGGGGCCCTTGCACCGGGTGCTTGTACCACACCTGGTCTCAGGAGGGTGGGGCGCAGGCAGCAGCTGCCGGTAGTGAACACTTTGCCCTTTGCCTGGCATTAGAAGCCTGGACACTACACACTCGGACACACGCGGTTTTGCATCAATACTCCAATAAATAGCGTCTATTAAGCCTACCCACACACTTGGATCACTTGGATGCATGACCAGCCGCAAAGCTGGAGATCATGGCACTCCAGAAAGTGACGGAGAAAATGTCAATGGCCAAGGGCAAGAATGCGAAACGGAACAAGCACGCCAGGAACTGAATAACATCTCGGTCATCGGAGACTGTGCTCCAAGGCATGACATGAACTGCCAGCGTCATCATGCCTTAGTGGTGCAGGCCAACCGATAATACCGATGTCATGAAAACTAATGCCCAACCCGTTTGAAAATTAAATCAAATGAATGCGCTCTTCGAAACTACTTTGGGAACCATGCATCTCAGCAAAACATGGCGGAAGGATCAAAAAAATAGTAGGGATCAAAACAATACTTTACTTCGAGCGATCCCCGCCGTGACATTATTTTGCCATAGTTTCCGACATCTCATCTGGAAGTATATATGGCATGTATTTTCTGACATTCTATTCTGGCAGTCTATCTGACATTTTGTTCTAACGTTCTTTTTGGCATCTCTTCTCGCATTTTATGTGGCATTCTATGACACTCTATTCCTTGGCATTCTATCTGACATATATTCCGCCCTCCTTTCTGGCATATACTCTGACATACTCTCTGCCATTCTTTCTGGCATTCTATCTGGCACTTATTCTGACATTCTATCCGCAATTCTATCTGGCATATCTTCCGACAGTTTTCTGGCTTCTATCTGGCATCTATTCTGATATTCTATATGGCAGTCTATCTGGCATTCTCTCTGGCAATCTCTCTGGCGATCTCTCTGGCATGTGTTCGGGCCCAGCGCCACGCCACAGCCTCTGAGCTCGCGATGTGTCACTGGGCCCAGGGCCGCTCCACAGCCTCCTGAGCTCGGGACGTGGACGCCACAGCCTCGCGACATCGCAAAATGCCCAGTGAGATCTGGCGCTCGCAGTTGAGGTCCGGCAGTGCCCACTGAGCTCCGGCGCTCGCAGTGGAGCCGGGTTGCGGAGGAGGAGGAGGAGGAGGAGGAAGGAAAGTGACTCTGATAAAATCTAGAGGCCCTCACCTGGCAGGCGGGGAAATAACCTAAGGGATCACATAATTAAGCATCAAAAAAAATAAAAGGAAGCTAAATGTGGAGAGGGGGGAGGTTGTGCCATTCGTACGCTGGATCCCAAAAAAAAAACTAGACGACGGATGGCCCGAGAGCGTAGAGGAGCATAGTGAGAGGTATATGTATGAAGATGTAATAATTAGCATGAAACATAAATATAAAAATATACGATGATGCATAAAATGAGGAGACATGGTGCAGACATGTTGTAAAAGGTAGGTACATATGAAGAAATTAAAGGAGAAAGAAAAGAAAGATGAAACGGAGGAGACACAGGAAGAAGAATTGAGACATACATTTTTACATACAATCATGCTCATACATACAAACATGCCTCACACACAACAGTGATTTTACACACAGATTCTTTACCACACCAACACTTTTACACGCAATCGTTTTTACGCACAAAAACTGTTACACACAAACACGTTTACACACACACTTTTACACAAACGCTTTTACGCAGAGACTCTTTTACACACAAACACTTTTATACACACAAACACGTTTACACGCAAACCCTTTTACACACAAACTCTTTTACACACAAACACTTTTGCACACAACACTTTTACACAGAAGCACTTTACACACAGACGCTTTTACACACAGTCCCTTTCACACACAAACTCTTTTACACACAATCGCCTTTACACACCAGAATGTTTACACACAAACGCTTGTACACAGAAACACTTCTACACACAAACGCTTTTACACACTAACGCCTCTACAAACACGTTTACACGCAAACGCTTTTACACATAAACTCGTTCACACACAAACACTTTTACGCGCAATTCTTTTACACACAAACACTTTTACACACAGACGCTTTTACACACAGACTTTTTTACACACAAACACTTTTACACACAACCCTTTTACACAGAAACACTTTTACACACAAACGCTTTTACACACAGTCCCTTTCACACACAAACTCTTTTACACACAATCGTTTTTACACACCAGAATGTTTACACACAAACGCTTGTACACAGAAACACTTCTACACACAAACGCTTTTACACACGCCTCTACAAACACGTTTACACGCAAACGCTTTTACACACAAACTCTTTTACACACAAACACTTTCACACACAATCCTTTTACACACAAAGGCTTTTACACACAAACCCTTTCGCACACACCGACTTCTACACTCGAACCTCGTTTCGTGCGAAAGTGTTGCTGCGGTAAAATCGCAATTTTACCGCAGTTTTTGACACTCGAACCTCATTTCGTGCCACAGTGTTGCCGCGGACACTGTAAAATCGCAATTTGACACTCGAACCTCATTTCGTGCGAAAGGGTGGCCATTTCGTGGCGCCTCGTCGGCACTGCCTGCGGCTTCAAGAGAGAAAAGAAAAAGAAGGAGAGAGACCGTGACAGAGGGCAAGAGACACAGAGAGAGAGAGAGAGACAGAGAGACAGAGAGACAGAGAGACAGAGAGACAGAGAGACAGAGAGACAGAGAGACAGAGAGACAGAGAGACAGAGAGAGACAGAGGAAGAGAGACAGAGAAAGAGAGAGAGAGAGAAGATCTGAAGATGTGAAGATGTGAAGATGTGAAGATGTGAAGATGTGAAGATGACAAGATGTGAGGATGAGAAGATGTGATGAAGATGTGATGAAGATGTGATGAAGATGTGAACATATGAAGATGTATAGCAGACCTCCACTTGTGGAAGAATCCTTCGCTCAGACGCTCTCGGGAAAAAAGTTACATAGGGATCAATTCTTTCGTGCTGCATTTTGGAGCAAAAATGTGTAATTTGAAGAACCTGGGGGACTTTTCCTTGCTGCAAGGTCCTTGCTATTTACTGCATATGTCATTTGCTGCGTTTTGGAGGTGCACTGCTCCGCGATTTTCCAAGGTGTTCATCGATTTCTCGCTGGTTTTCATTGTTTTTTCCGTGGTTTTCACCGTTGTTTCCACGGTTTGCATCGATTTCTCTCATATAATATATGATTATCAATCGTTCCATGTTTTTTCTGATGGTTTTTAGGCCTTTTTCATGGCTTCATCGATGTTTGTTATTTTACCCCAGGATTTTTCACAATTCTCCATGGTTTGCATCGCAGTTTTCAATGGTGTTCTTCGATTTATGGCTGGCTTTCATCAATGTCTTGATCGTTTGCATCGTGTTTGCAAATGCGTTTGCGAGTAAAGTATATAGTGTGTTTACAAGTGTGCGGCCTACGATTTGATATATGTGGTTCATCCTGGGTTTTCACCTTCCTTCCTTCCTTGATTCCTTCCCTCCCTCCCTCCCTGCCTCCCTGCCTGCCTGCCTTCCTTCCTTCCTTCCTGCCTTCCTTCCTTCATTATTTTTTCATTGATCCCTATTTTTTTGATCCCTAATGTGTTTTTTTGATCCCCATTATTTTTGTCGCTGCCTACGCCGCAAAACATCCCAACTAGCTGAGACATTGACATTGCTACAAAGCAAACAAGATACCCACTGCGACAAATTGGTTCTCCGCTTAGACACTTCCAACTTTGCAATACTTTGGGAGTCAGTTGGGTCAAGCCATCGTCGATACAGCCTCTGGCCGTTCGGTAAACTATTAAATGATATTGGTATTAAGTGCACCCACTCCAGCCTGATATTACAGGAGATGAAGGGTAATCCTGGCATGATGTCAGTCCAAGGTACACACATGGTATGGTATCCTTATTAGGCATCGGCAGCAAGGATCCTCACCAAGGAGGTATATGAGCACAAAACCCAACCAAATAGCAGCGATTCCCAGATGATGCTGGAGGTTGAAGCCTCAGTCACTGCTTGTGACGAGTGCCCGTCCCTGAGTGATGCCGACTGTAGATCTAAATGACAACTATCTCCTCTCGTCCGTGTGTAGTTTCATTTGCCGACCCGTTGTCTGTCTGCATTAGTCTTCCCCTGTTTTTTGGCTACGCTGACCCGAGATTGAATGTTTCTGGCAAGAAACTGATCACAGGATCCGCTGGCAAGATCGCAGCAAGAAAGTAGGCGACCATCACTGCGCCCAAAGCAAAGCAACTAAACAGAATGCCTGCACTGCGGACATCTGCTTCCAAAAAAAAGTGTTGCAAGGACACCAGGTAGAACCAGTAACATCTATATATATATATATTAGCTAAACTCAAAAACTCGCTGCCGTGGATATGTTGAAAACCGCACGAGGGGTTAGCGGGGGGGCGAACGTAGGGGCGAACATGCGGGCGAACGGGTGGACGAACGTCGCCCGCACGAGCGAGCGGGGGGGGCGAGCTGGGGGGCGAGCGGACGGGCGAACAATTCGACTAGTCTTGTTTTGCCTGGTGATAATTAGTACAGTCAACCTGTGCCGAAATTATTGTACACCTACTATACAACCCAAGAATAAGGTACAAAGTTGTTGGTATTCGAAACCCGTGCAATTTTGAGGGCGGGCCCACCCCCTTGAGGGCGCATGAAGGGGTCGCACGAAGGGGTCGCACATACGCATGTACGCACGTACGTACGCATGCACGCACGCACGTTCATGTGCATGTACGCACGCACGTTCACATGCATGTTCAGAAATAAGGTTACCTTTAAGGTTACCTTTTATATAAAAGGTAACCTTATTTCTGTACGACCCTAAGCCTCCTAAAGCATATTTAGTATTAGGAGGTCACTTTTCAAAGGTAACCTTATTTCTGAACATGGGTCTGAACATGGGCTTGAACATGGGTCTGAACATGGTACCTACGTACGTTTATACGTCCGAACGTACGTGCGTACGTCTGTGCGTACGTGTGTGCATGTGTGTGTGTGTGTGCGTGCACGTACGGCGTACGGCGTATGTACGTGCGTACATTCACCCACGTTCGCCCCCACGTTCGCCCCCCCATTCGTCCCCCCGTTCGCACGTTCGCACCCCTGCCGTACCCTCGTTCAGATGGCCGTACGCCCCCCCACGTTCAATACGTCTAAATAACTTCAAAAACAGGCCGCAGCGACCTTTTGGGTTTAGCTAATATATATATATATAAAATAAATAATGTAACTTCAAAAGACCAAGGCGTGAATTGCACTGGTCTTGGCGAATCAAGCATCAGCATTGGCAATAATAACTCCAAAGGTCACACCAAGGAGGGCAAAAAGGACCAAAAAAGCAGTGCCTGCCCGCACTCTTTGGATCTGCTTCTCCTGGAGCTTGGCGCGCCTTTTGTTTTGCTCACCCCAAAGCGACGTGATGCCACAACCAGGGTGGAGACACCTGCCAGGCTCAGGCAGCTCAGATTGACCCACAGAACATCACAGAGCAGAAGCAAAGCCGAGTAATCTTAGTGACACTGATGGAGGATCTATCCTATCAACAGTAGGCCGTCGTAGATGGTCCAGATGGCGTCGTAGATGGTCTTAGTTTGGCTCCAATTTGCTCAGCATCCCGTGCCTTTTGGCCAGGCCACGGCACCGCATCCGTAAATGAGACCAGCCGCCCAAACTTTTCACGAAGACATGACAGCTGTAGACCCAAATGATAGCGATGAGAAACGCCTCAGTTTACCAAAGCTAGATTGGTAGACCTGGTAGCAATTCCAAAACTTGCCACAATCCTCACCCCTGCTTCACCTTGGCATAACATGACAGCAACGCAGCTCAAGAGCGAATCTACTTGAGCCGAAGAAGCGACTATCATCAGTTCATAGGTTTTCGGGGCACTGGACTCACCTTCGGTGTCCCAGCGCCCATCAGGAGAGCCTTTCAGCTGGGATGAGCATGAGCCAAGGTTGCTTGCCTTTGGCATCTGTTGAAAGGTGGATAAAGGATAATGAAGGTGAATATGAAATGATGGTGCAAATGACGGTTTTCGGTGGGGGCTCAAATTGAGCCCTGATAGATCCGGATATATAGTCCAAACTATGGTTGCCCTGTCTGTTCACAACTGTTGGCACAATAAAATCAATAGGAAAAAACATGAAGATTGTGGCTGCATCCGGGCAAATTACCTCGAGCAGCCTTGGAACAGCTCTTGCTCACACGATGCTCACACGCAAGTGATCTTCCCGCCTGGTATGCTATCCATTCCGAACTACGATTGCATTTCTCGATGTTCTGAATTGAGCCGCATTGCTGCAGGTCACACGCATGCGACAAGAAATGTTTTGGCAACTGTTGAATCCATTTGAATCCCTCTTTACGAATGGAAAACATTCCCGGCAGCAGTTCTGTCCAGTGTTTGATTAAGTGTGCGCCTTTGCATCAGCAGAATTGTCCTGTTCTTGTTCTTGCATCCTCTCCTCTCCAAAGCCAAGAAAACCATATCCCAGGCCCATCCGCCTTCACCAGGGGCTTCATGCTGGCAGCTGCCGCTGGATCTGGATATCTCCAGTCATGTGGTGTTGATGCCATCATGTACCTCCATAGCTGCAAAGGCTGAAGCCTTTGCAAAACACACCTCTTGGCAGAGTGTTCTTTTTAATTCTTCTCCAAGCCACTCAGGTTTGTAGATTTTGGCCCATCTTCTGAGGTATTCCTGCACACCCAGTCACAGTGTGTGGTCCACGCCATGAATGGAGCTGACTTCCTCTCAGCTTGCCCTGAACGCATGTGAATGCAGAGATTCGCATCAGCGCCTTGGCACCATCCAGATTTTCTTCCAGCCCTTCCTTCTTCAGTGCTGCGCTAATAGAGAACCAATCACCCTTCAAATAGTTGTCAATCCTTAAGGCTGTACCTGAGATTCATACTTACTAGAGTTTTTGGAAGCACATTTGCATGGAGTTGAATTTGTCCAATTACACTGTGCCAATTGCTAGTGTCCATTACATTGGACTGAAACATTACTGCGCTGCACCAAACCCAAGGACTTCACACAATATAGATCTCTGCTTGACAACCTACCAATAAGTTGTAGGCGCAATGGGGCCGCAAAAGAAACCTGACCAAGCAAAAACCGTTTTGGAGTAGGCATTATTAAGAAAACAAACGAAAGCAGATTGTCTCCTCTCACTGTCCAGGGTCAAACGATGCAAGGACCGCTGAGAGCAAAATGGAAAACAGCAGCGTGGTGAAGACCAAACCAGCTCAGAGTACAACTCCCTTAGTTTCCGAGTTGCGCAATCGGCTTGTGACAGGCTTTGCCTCAGGCTGCCAATGTTTGGCCTCCTCCTTGCCAGGTTGTGAGCAGCAACCGCGACAGCTGATCCATCAGTGTCAGTTGTTTCTACATGTCCACCCCCAGGTTGCCCAGCAGCTACGTCCTCCACGTATGGAATGTTGGTCATAACCGCATAGCGCACTTTGGCGAGGCGAAAGATTCTCTCCACATGCTCTTCCTCTCCCACCCACTGGCATCTCGGCCCCGGTCCGCCCGGTCCCATGTAAGAAAAAAACTACTTGGATGCGTGGGCAAATCCTGAAACCCTCACTGACCCCTTTCCTCCAAAATTCAATGTGGAACCCAAAAAAAAAACACCGATCTAGGGTTTCAAAAGGGTTGTTTAATACTAGGGACCCCACTATCGACGTGTAAAGTAAAATATGCCCCCTGGGCAACCAATCTGCACCAAACTATATTCATTTGTTCTCAATTTTGACAACATGTTGTGCCCAAATGTGTGAGCGCAACTTCCAGGTTAGGTATCCCGACGGTACCCGAATGGTGCACCGTGTCAACCACAGTTTTCTCAAAACCATGTTCGGCTCCCCCAAGTGTTTGTAACGAAATCTTCGCGGGTCCAGCGGCTGCTTTTGGAACCACGCGCGGATACCTGTTAAGTCTCTCTCTGCCAGCAGTTTTTCCAAGCCCAGCCTGCGATGGTGTGTGCTTTTGTGGAATACAAACTACCCTCCGGTAATTTAACATAGCTATTGAAAACGGCCATTTATAGTTGATTTTCCCATTAAACATTGTGATTTTCTATAGTTATGTTAGTTTACCAGAGGGTACCCGCCAATGCGGAGGTACACCGCCAAGAATCGAATTGGATGGGTTGTATATACATCGTATATTGTCATTAGATAATGGAAAAAAAACGAAGGGCATTGCCGTTGCCATAGGCAAAAGAAAAAAAGCAGAAACATAAGCAGGGCAGTATGCCAAACCAATTTGAAAAAACCATATCCCTACCAATTCAAGCTGCAATCAGCAAGAAAGACCTTCTCCGTCCACGGAGGCGCCCAGCCTGTGCAGGGTTGTGACAACCCCTTGGCAAGCCTCTGAGATCGGGGAGCGCTCCACGAAAAGGCCTTTCCAAACCTGGGCCAAGGACGCATGCAAGAATATGTACTGTATGCATGAATAAATGAATAAATAAATAAATGAATAAATAATAAATAAATAAAGAAATAAAGAAATAAAGAAATAAAAATAGATCAATCAACCAGTCAATCAATCAATCAATCAATCACTCAATCAATCAATCGGTCAATCACGCCAGCATGGCATAGACCCCAACTAGCAAAAAAAATGGTGGCAACCAAGCGCTCGCCTGTTTTGTTACGGCATACATGTAATCGCCATCAAGGCCCAACGCCCACACTGCCATAGACATGTCGCAGCCACCCCCTGACACCAGTACCCAAGTTTCATAGCGCACACCGCACTCTGACAGCAGTACCCTGTAGCAGCACCCAAGTTCCTAAGATGCAGACAGCTCTTAGACAGTAGCACCCTGCACCCGGCACCCAGCAGCGGCACCGGCAAGCCAGCTCCACACAGCGCGCACGCCACTCTAACAGCACAGCGGCACCCTGCAGCGGCACCAGCAAGCCAGTTCCAGAGCGCACACGCGCTCTGACAGCAGCACCCTGCAGTGGCACCCTGCAGCAGCACAGGCCAGCTCCAAAGCGCACACGCTGCTCTGACAGTACCCTGAAGCAACACCCTGCAACGGCACCCTGCAGCGGCACCAGCTCCAAAACAGCAACACCTTGAAGCAGCATCCTCCAGCGGCACCAGCAGGCCACCTCCAAAGCCACTCTAACAGCAGCACCCTCAACCGTGCAGCGGCACCAGCAGACCAAGCTCGAAAGCGCACACGCCACTCTAACAGCAGCACCTTCAAGCAGCACCCTGCAGCGGCACCCTGCAGCGGCACCAACATGCCCGCTCCAAAACGCACATATCCAACCTATCCTATATTTTAAGTAAGAACACGTTCTGTTCGCTATTTGGTGAATAACTAAATTTAAAGATAAATAAGAAATTAAATAAATACATACATCTCAAAAATATAAAATAAAGAAAGGAAGAAATAATAAACAAATAAATTTCTTTTCGCCAGCATGGGCCCCAGATAGCAAAAGATATTGAAAGCGCTCGCCTTTTTGTTGCTACTGCAGACATGAAATCTCCATCACTGACAGCAGCACCTTGAAGAAGCATTCTGCAGCGGCACCCAGCAGCGACACCCAACATCACCCTGCACCAGCACCGGCAACCCAGCTCCACAGCGCACGCACCGCGCTAACAGCAGCCCCCTGAAATAGCACCCTGCAGCGGCAATAGCACGCCAGCTCCAAAGCGCACACAGCACTCTGACAGGAGCACCCAGCAGCGGCACCATGCAGCGGCACCAACATGCCAGCTCCAAAGCGCACAGCGGCGCCGGCACTCTGACAGCAGCACCCTGCAGTAGCACCCTCCACGCTACCTCCAAAGCGCACACACCACGCCAACAGCAGCACCCTGCTGGAGCAGCACCCTGCAGCCGCACCTTGCACGCACCAGCGCTCCAAAGCCCACACACGACTTTGATAGCAGCACCCGCAAGCAGCACCCTGCAGCGGCACCAGCACGCCCGCTCCAAGAAAGCGCACGCAGCACCCCAACCAACACCCTGCAGCAGCACACCCTGCAGTGGCACCAGCATGCCCCCTCCAAAGCGCAGACACCACTCTGACAGCAGCATCCCCAAGCAGGAGCCGGCAGCGGCACCAACATGCCCGCTCCAAAACGCAGACATGCAACTCGTCCTATACTTGAAGTAAGAACCTCAAAACCTCAATGGCTTCGCTATCTGGGGAATGAAAAAAAAATAAATCGGTAACTAAAAAAGTAAACAAACAAAGAAAGAAAGAAACAAACAAACTAACTAACTAACTAAACAAAACAAAAAACAAAAAACAACAACAAAACAAACAAACCAACAAAACAAACAAACCAACCAAACAAACAAACCAACCAACCAACCAAACCAACCAACCAACCAAACAAAACAAACAAAACAAACCAAACAAACAAAACAAATTAAACAAACAAAGCAAACAAAACAAACAAAACAAACAAAACAAACAAAACATAACAAAACAAACAAAACAAACAAACCAAACAAACCAAACAAACCAAACAAAACAAACCAAACAAAACAAAACAAACAAAACAAACAAACCAAACAAACAAAAACAAACAAAAACATACAAAAACATACAAAAACATACAAAACAAACAAAACAAACAACAAACAAAACAAACAAAACAGACAGACAGACAAATAAATAAATAAATAAATAAAAACGCGTACAAAAACTGAGGAAAAAAGCACGGATCCAGAAATACAAAAACAGGCCTGGAAGCAAATATGAGCACAGCAAGTTGAAATTTCTTTGGCTCACAAAGAATCACGCAAACTATGCCGGTTGCAAAGGAGGCACCAAAGCTGCTTGTTCCGACTTGCTCTTGGCAAAGAACTTCTCGTGAGTTAGGTCTGCAGGTGCCACCATAAAATATTCCGACCTCCATAGAAGTCATGAAATCTGCAGCAAAGACGTAATAAGATGAATTCCAACAAAACGTTGGTACCTAGGTTTGGAACCAAAGATTTGATGTCCAGTTGCAGGCCAGCGGCACTAAATAATGGTAAGTGAGCAATTCATCAATGCCCCAAAGCATCAAATTCCCGTGAGTCGGAGGCCTCGCAGCTCTGCTGGATTGGAAGCCCGGCAGCAAAGCAGAAAGTGGCTTTGGAAAACACATATTGACGGATCGCTGCATGTTTATAGTTAAAGGCTTGGAGCTGTTTCTGACCATCAGATGGTATCATCTACGTTCACATGGCTTCAAAAACTTTCTTGGCCCGGAGGGCTCATGCTCGCATGCCAATGCTGTTGAGCAGCAGCAAATGGGTGTGCACATCGATCACTTCAACATCGCGAACTTCATCATGAATGGCTTGAGACACTGTTTCTGGAGTAAGGATTGTTTTGCCATTTTGCTCCTGGCGAGTTGAAATCGTCACCGAAACATTTTCCCAGATTTTTCTGTAACGAGGACAGGGTGCCATTGTAACATGCATATGTATAAAATATGTATATATATATATATAATATAATGAGTGCTTTAGTCCCAACAATTTCAGTCAAAATGCTTGACATCTTTACAGATTGGCAACATGTGATTCCTCATGCTGGACACCATACGACTAAGTGTTTTCAGAACTCTTCTGCACAAAGAGCCTGCCGCATTCCATCCGAAAACATCACTAACGTAACAAAGCTAAGGATCCATGTCGTCACCGACCGGCACCAGTGCTCACCCTATCAGAGCCACAATAGCGCCAGATATATTTCGATTCTTGGGGCGGCAGAAGTACGCTGCCCACTTGCTCTCTGAGGCACCACGCCCAAAGACAATAACGACAAGTTCTCTCCATCGATGGCCTTATATGGCCACCGCAAAATGCCATTGTCATCACAAAATCTCTGCAAGCATTGTCATGATGCGCTGAGCAGCATTGATCTCATCCAACCCAATGGTGTTCAACGCGTTGATCGCCGCACCCTGGTACAAACGGCTGGCAATTCGAGGGGTCATGGAATGGGAAAAATTGTGGCAACAATAATAACCCGTGCGTTTTGATAGCCTCGCTCCCGGAATTCATAATTTTAGCCAACATATTCCATGGCGCAAATCTTGGCGACTTGTGGCCATCGCAGGGGGCTCTTCTCGAGACATTGTGCTGTGAAGGATGATGTGTGTGGTTGCAAGTTGGATTCAGAAAAACAATGGACGGCTGCGAACAACACAGGGTGTTGTAACTCTTTAAATCTAAAAATTGCGTTTCGGGCCCCCGGTTTTTCTGTGCTGCACTTCAAAAAGCCATGCGGCAATGGAGGGAAAGAGTGGAACAACATGGAATCGATTTGAAGGATGGCATGCCATGGACGTGAGATTTGGTAATGATATATTTTTGTTTGCAAAGAACTCGGGAATGTCAATTTGTTTTTTTGTTTCTTGGACACGCTGGTAAACACGGACAAGGAAATTTACCCAATGGTGAATCACCGAAACTTTCGTTTTCTAGAAAAAATTGTCCATCAACACAGTTCCACATCATTGAAAGCGTGGACCACATGCCCTTGATAAAGGACAGACGGTCCTGTGTCAATGTTCGTCTCACTTCAGAGGGGTTCGCAGATTTCCGTGAAAAAGATTCGAGGCGACTTGATGGTCAGTGCGCCAATCGCTGCCCCAGAATGTAAGCAAACCAATGAGCAAAGATGTGGCGAACCGGGACATACATGTCGAGATGCTGAATGACAAGGCCGATTCAATTTGACGTCTTGTTCCCCGTCGTGACATGGAGCTTGAAGACCTGGTTGCTTGCATTTTTGCAGGTAGCAATTTTGCAAACATATATGGCACGAAGTCTCAACGTGGCTATGTTGTCTCCTTCTGTTTCCTGAGCATTCGAAGCGTTTCTCCAGCCAATTCCTTTTTTTCATTTTTGAAACTTACTTTGATCATGCAGTGAAGCGAGTTTGCCGGAGTACACTTGCTGCAGCAACGGGTAGGGTTTTCACTTGTGTGGGGGCTGGCGAATATGTCCGGGCCTTGATGCTGGAACTCTAGCACCGTGATGCGACTTTCGATCCTTTGGGACGTGAGTATGTGAAAAAAAAAATCACGAAAGATTTGGAAAACGCCTTGAACAAACACGAAGGCCAACCGAGTGACAAGGAGGTTCGCATTCTGGTAGCACAAACTCGTTAGATGATTGGTGACAGCAACGATGATGATGATGATGATGATGCATGGTGTTTGCAACATATAATATGGTGCGACACAAGCCGGCACTTCGCTGATGTGCTCACGCAAACTGGAAGGGAACCGTTGCTCAGCGCACTAAAGACTGCGGCACCGTGAGCCGAATGATTCAGCATGTCCAAATGCAATTTTCTATTTGAGAACCATTTAGGTCAACACGAACAGCACAAGTTTGGTAGATCAACCCACTAAATATGTTTTATTTGAAACGGGTGTGTCATGAGCATTTGGAGTTGGTATATAAACAATGTTTTCGGTTCGAGACAGTTGTTTCCGACCCCCCATGGATTCTCAAACATTTTTTCTAATTGAAAAAAATTATCACCCTATCCCGTTTGGAAAGTTAAGGGTTGGCGTAAGCAAACAACATGGTGTGGGCGCCTGTGGGAGCACACGCGCGCGTTGCACTCTTTTGCACAGTTGTCTCTGTGGTTTTTTTGGGGGGGAGGGGGGAGGGGATGTTTTGGGGGTGGCGTTGTTTTTTTGGGGTGGGTTTTGGGGAGGGTTGGTTTTGATGGAGGTGCTAATAACGTTCTTGGCTGGCCGTCTTACACGATATGCTCTTGGACTTGTTGCTATGCTACCAGCTCTCTCTCGCACTGTACCTTGCCAGACGTTTTGGCCTTCTTCTTGTAAGTTGTAAGGCGCTCTTGATGCCAGGCTTTGATTTTTTCCTCCTAACTTGTAAGGCGTTTGTGATGCTACCCGTTGAATTTTTTTTGTAATTTGTAAGACGTTTTTTCCCCTTCTTAACTACTTCTCCTAACTTGTAACATGTAAGACGCTCTTGATTTACGTTTTGAGTTTCTTCTTGTGAATTGCAGGACGCTCTTGATGCTACGCTCTTGATTTCTTCTCCTAACTTGTAAGGCCCTCGTGAATTTTGTGTGATCCAAGCATCTGGTGGAGCGAGGGGAGATTCTGCACGTTCTCACTGTGGTTCCATCCAATTCGACATGTTTTTCCAAACGCATCGTCTCATTCAAACATTGCCCAGCTTCGCGTTCCAATTCCAGGAGAGGTTGCAAGGCTCTGCTCCCCGGTTCCCAGGTGGATCCAATAGCTTTACCCACTGTGCAAGCACTTGGCGGTGGTGTTTTGGCATTGGACGCTGTGTATTGCAAGATAGCCGCATCCAGTTTTTGCAGCGACAGAGGCGCGTGCCGATTGGCAGGCAGCCATCCCGCGCTACGCAAGAGGTTGGTCTTGTAACGGCAGGTCACTTCTTTGCATTGTTTCACCACACGTAAGTTTTTGTAGAAGAAAAATTGGCCCAAATTTGAATCACATCGGAGACATGCTTGGACATGTTCCAGGTACCCAGTTTTCACCTATGCACGGGCTGCAGCAAGTTGGCTCTCCGGTGTTTCTGCAAGCCCTGGTCTTTTACGTCGCTTTTCATTGCGTCTTTTTTTGGCAACCCCTGCATGCCGAAGGCCAGGGTATGATTGAGTGGCCCTTTTTTGGAACTTTCCCCAAACATATTTTCCCAGTCTGGGAGGTTTCCGTCCTTTCTGCGGATGTTTCAAGATGCCTCTTCGGGAAGTAATTTGCTTGACTAAACTCGGTCGGGACAGCGTAGATAATATCAGGGTTACTGGGTTCAACAACCAGACCAAATAGAGGGGAAACAAATTAAAATTTGGCGTTAGAAACACGCAAGGAACAAGCGGCACTTTTCGCACCAGGCTGTGAACATAACTTCAGATTGTGTGATACACATCCACACAGCGAGCACGCCGTTGACTGTCGTTCAATTTTTTGTTGACAAAGACATGTTGTTTTTAACTGTGAACAAACCTCTTGCTTCCATATGTTAAAACCGTTTGCATGTGCATGTCTGTCAACCGGGTGTTAATTAAGTCTTCATTCAACCAGTTGCCCATATCAGTTCTACACACATGTTGCTTTCCTTGTAAGTAAATCAAGTTATACCGTGTGGGTTCAGCAGTCCGCAACTGATTTTTGACATCTCAGTTCTTCAGTCGTCCAACCCTGCCCGCAGCAAGCGGGCCCTCAAAAAGTGAAACTGAGTGCGATTGAAGCGAAGCTAAGTGGGAGTTTCCTGGGCACTGACCGTGCTATAGAACAAACAACCGGGTTTATTCCGTTCATCTCGTTTCCAGGACCGGCTGCAGACCAAGGCAACTTGTCCTGCTTTGACGCTGCCAGGACCCCATATATGCGGTCTCAGGGCTGTTCCGTGATGCGGACACGCTCCGAACTGGAGGAAGCTCCTTCCCGTGCAGCAACTTGAGAAGAAGCAGTCGCTGCCACATCTCTGCACTTTGGACTTGGTATGCGAGGTTCCGACCGCGCAAGTAAATCTGCCAACCTGTAACCCATTGCACGTCATGTGGAAACAGCTAAGGGCAGCAATTCATGCCGGAAAAATGGCATGGCCCCTGTGCAGCAAGATGACATGCACAAATCAAGGCTGTTTCAGCATCAGGGCAGAAAAACGCTGCCTCCGTTGTATGGTAGCGGAGCCCCCTGTGATCCGACGGGGCCAAGGTGAGGGGGCTCCAGCTTTGAAGCCATACGCCTAGCAATTTTCAGGAGTTCTTTGGAACTTGCTTTATATCGTTGTAGCTGAGGAGACAATCGGGTTTGGCGCTATAACCATGTGATTGTGATGGTGGAGGCTATCGGCCTTAGCGCCATAACCTTGAAATGGAGAACACCCTCGGACTCTGGTTGCAACGTTGTCTACATCGTCATCGAGCTCTACTTTCTTGAGGAGCGAGGAGTGAGAAGAGAGAAAGGCGAGGAGAAAGAGGAACTGAGAAATGCCAGGAGAGATCCCGCACCGACACCTTGTAGGGTGACACTCAGGAAGTTTCCCACTGTTGCCTGTGAGGGACGGCATCCAACATGGAGCAGTTCCTGACTGAGATGCATGGCTTTGGAGCTGCGACGACGGAGGCGCTCAATGCGTTGAGAACTGGAAGGAGAAGAATCAATGGCCAGGAGTTCATTGATGCAAAGACGTTGCAACGACCTGAGGTGTGGAAGCTGAGGGACCACGAGGAAAAAATGAGTGGATGGCCTGAATGGTCATTCTTGTTTAAAGCCTTCATGGTGATGCTCGACGGCGACTGCGAGCACGACTTGGAGGTGGTCGGGAGAGACCTAGAGAATGAGAGAAGGATGGAGGACTACTTGGGTGCAGAAAAGGCAAGGACAAAAACGCTCTACAGCTATTTGGTGTCCTACACCAAAGGGAGGCCTTTGAGAATAGTCAAAGCAGTAGTTGGCAACGACAGCTTCAGAGCGTGGCAGTACCTGCGCAGAGAGCCAGACGAGGCAGAGGACACTGTAGTTCCCAGCGTTTGAAAAAGGGAAGAGGCTGGAAGGACTACTTGCCTTGGACAACCTCATGGAGGACTATGAGCAGATGAGCCCGGACAAGTTGAACAACGAGTTGAAAGTGGCGACTTTGCTTCGATGCTGCCCTCAAATTCTCAGACCGCACTTGGAGCTCACCATGGGCAAGAACACGACGTACCAGGGCATACGTGGTGCCATGACAACATACGAGCAAACGACCTCGAGCTGGACAACAACGAAGGTTCTCAAACAGATGCAGGTATACAACAACAGCGTGAAGGATGACCCTGTGGAGGTTGACAGAATTGAGAAGTGGAAAGGAAAGGGATCTAAAGGAAATGCCAATGGAAAGCGCAAAGAACCCAAAGGAGGCAAGAAGGGCAAAAGAAAGGCTAAGACTAAGAATGGGCAATCCGCGTGGGGCAAAGGCAAAGGCAAAGGAGACCAGAGGAGTGGGAAAGGCCCACGGAAATGGCAAACGCAAGCAAACAAGAGAATGCCACAACTGTGGCAGAGATGGCCATCATAGCTAGGGACTGTACCAACGACAAAAAGGTCATAATGGTTGAGGAGCTACGTGAGGAGACCTCATCGCCTACCTTGCAAATGATGTAATGATCAAGACTAGTAACGGGCATGGGTTTCTAGGAGGCGTCGAAAGGTGAAGACAGCATGTTCAAAGTTAAATACAACAAAAAAACCAAAAAAAAAAAACAATCCAGCAGGAAACGGGCCACACCCACCTGCTCTCCTGTGAAATGGCTGTTGGCATTCCAAGGTAACGAGCTTCGACATGCAAAGTTTCCTTTTTGCACTTCCCTGCCCAGTTCTAACTGGTACAACAGCGCAAGGTAACTCCCGAGAGCTTCTTTCAGCAGGTTTTAGCGTTTAAGAAAAAACACTGCTCACCTTCAACGGCCTATCCAAGCTAGCCATGGCCCTTCTGCTGCGTTTTCGTACCTCGCCAGCGGGCGACCATGTCAATTTGGAAATCATTTTGTCTACGGGAAAACATGTTGAAATTGACATGTTTCATTTCAAAAAAAATAACACCTTTAGACAATAACATATACACATGCCAATGTTGCTAGTCTCAAGAAAAAGTTCGGAACGTACCATCAAGAGCGTCTTAAAAGTTACAAGAAAAATTTCAGAGCGTAGCATCACAGAGCGCCTCAACACTTTATTCTTCATGTCCGGATCTTGGGAGCTTCTCAAAGAGGGCCAACAAGATGAAAATATGTCCGTGTCCCTGGCAGCCCACCTCCCCATACGGAAAGTGTCGTCAAAAATCGTGTCGAGAAAAATCACTACTTCCAATATGTTGTCTTGTTTTCAAGCCGCAAACCATATGCTACATTGATGGTGCCATGGGATGGAAGAAAGCCAGCAAATCTTCGCCCCGGAAAAAGTTGCTATGGGTGGTCGGGGTTTCCGGACCACCCAGGAGGTGCCCGGGCGCCTGCCGATTTTTTTTAAGGAGGTGTCCTTCCCCTGTAGGGATACCCTTCCTCCGTCCGCGCACAATGTATATGTATATACACACACACACATATATATATATATATATACATTTTGTTGTTTTGTTCCGCGGGCGGTTTGTGAATTGACGGGTGATGAACGCGTGGGTTACCGCAAAAAAAAAAAGGAAAGGTCCACCAACGCATGCAAACACGCTATTCATAGCGCTCGTGACGGGTAACGCGCGCGCCATCCTTACCCCATCGCGCTGGACGCGCCAGTCTGCTCAACATCGCAGCGGATTCCCCAAAATCTACATACACATAACGGGACATAACATAATGTCTGTCTATGTTATTTGCTATGCCTACAATACTCTGTGTATATTTGAATATATACATCTATATGTGTATGAAAAACTGTTATTTACATACACACATGAAAAACTGTTATTTACATACACACACACACATATATATATATATAAATGAAAAATATCAAAAAAAAACTTCAGAACCCAAGGCGAAACTCATGGCTCATCAACGTGTTAAACTTTATTCTTCAAATGTTGCCCCACGAATGCTTGCAGTTGAAAACTTGCGCATGTCCTACCGTGAGTGCTCGTTATTAGTCCCCAAATTCAGTCATCGAAGTTCTCCCGCGTGTGGCACCTCTTGCCGCTGGGTTGCGCAGGTCTGTTCAGTGTGGGTCGCCAATTGGGGCCGCGCTTTTGGGCGAGGAGCCCGAGAGACATCCTCGCAACAGAGATGCTGCAGGTGTCAATATCGTGGGTCAAATGAAGCTCCATTGCACTAAAATGGGCAAACAAATTTGACTAAGTCGATCATTGCATCAAAGAAAAGTGAGATGACTGATAATGTTTTATCAATCTTCACCATTTATGCCCCTTTCAGTTGGTTTTCATAGTGTCCATGCAGCATGTTCACACATGGCTGTTTTATAAGGTGTATATTTACGAGCGCATCCTCTCCGAGCAGTCCGTAACATTATCCGCTGTGGGAGGTTGAGATAAATTGCAAACACATGTGCTGCAGCGGCTCTCTTTTTACCATTTTGAGGCTCTGGCTGCCACGCGACGAACCATCGCCGAGAGGTGGGTCGTCGTCGTGGAGGCTCCGCCGCTTCGCTTCGCGGACTTCTGCCTGCAGTGGCGTGGTCAGATTCGAGATATGACGCGTGATTTGTGCTGAATTCGGCTGCTCCGTACTGTCTGCTTTGGCATTACCTTAAGACTTCATGTGTCAAAATGCTTCGTAGGTAATCAGGGTATGTTGTGCAAGCCTCTTCCTTTTGCTGTAGACGCTCGTACTCGGCCTGGCATTGTTGGTTGGCTGCGTATACGCAGATCGTTTGGCGGCTGTTTGTGTGTCTGTGTCGAGGTCTGTTTTCCTCTCTCTCTCTCTCTCTCTCTCTCTCCCTCTCCCCTTACTTGTCTCTCTCTTTCCAGCGCTCTATTGCTAAGCCCGGCACAGCCAGTTCGGCGTCTACTTCCTCGTCCTCGGGATGTACGAGGCGTTGCTGTTTCTATCCATCGCGTGATGCTTCCGTGTCAGCAATCTGTCCACGTTTTTTGTTTTTAGGTGCTTTCCTTTTTCTCCGTCGGTCTGGTTGAAGTCGGTCTGACTGAGGAGAAGACCGTGGGTAGCCTCCGCGGCGGTGGGGCTGGCACCTGCCAGGACAAGACCAATCAGCCCGGAGGCAAGGAGTGACTGGGGGCCTCTGCCTCTGGGAAAGCGTGTTGGTCTTCTCCAGCTCTTTTCCCCTTGTCTGCCTTAGTGATGCGTCAAGCTCTCGCCAAATCCTTTTTTTTTCGTGTTTCCTTTGCGGTTTTTTTGTTCTTCCTTTCTTTTCTTTCTTTTCTTTGCTTTTTTCTTTGTTTCTTTCGTTCTTTATTTCTTTCTGTCTTTCTTTCTTTCTTTCTGTCTTTCTTTCTTTCTTTCTTTCTTTCTTTCTTTCT